TTGCCAAGGCGATGAATATAAATGACTTTGCGGGAGGACCTTCTTGGTGTTACCGCTTCATGCAACGCAACCGCCTCTCTATCAGAGCACGGACAACTGTTAATATGTTACGTTAACATACCGCCTATTCACGTTATGTTAACAGACGCATATTCAGCCTGTTGTTCTCCATTTTATTGTTATTAAGATAACTTGCCTTTCAAGATGAAATGTATGTTCTTGGTCTCTGATTTTATGAAATATATTTCCCCCAAAAAGTGCGACTTATAGTCCAGTGCGACTTATATATGTTTTTTTCTTCTTCATTATGCATTTTTTGGCTGGTGCGACGTATACTCAGGAGCGACTTATAGTCCGGAAAATACGGTAATATAGCTATTAAGAAGGTTCTGGGTTTAAACCTCACAGCTGAACCAGGGCCTTTCTGTGAGGAGTTTGCGTCTTCTCCCCCATGTCTGTCTCTGTGTGCCAGTCCTCTTCAGCCTGGTGACCTGTCTAGGCCGAACCCCACCTGGTCTGGGATTGGTTCCCGCCCCCATGAGAACAGGATAAGCAGTGGATGGTTGATTCACAGGGGAAGTGGACAATCTTTTTTTTTTCTTTAGATTTTAAACTCAAGGTTACAATTAGATGGATGGTTAATGTTAGGTATCAGTTGGAGTTGAGGCATTGGTGGTTAAAGTTATCACTTCAGGGCTCCAGGGCTTGCACGCTGAAAGTGTGTCTATGCATTGCTAGAGAGACAGCGAGAAGAAAGAGGGACATATTTCTTGCAAGTGTGCTAAAACTGTCACACTGCAACTTTCCGATTTATGTTCCCTTGTTTCTTGGGCTTTAGTGGACACTAATAAATCATTTAAATGCATTCACTGTATGTGTGCGTGTTTTGGTGTGTACTGGTGCATGTGTATGCATCGCAATGCATCAGTGAGACAGAGCAGAGTCCCGAGAACTCATAAATTAGGTCTTTTTCTTTTTTGTCTGATTATACAATGGGTGTGTGTTTGCATGCAACTAGTCTTCTAGTTGCCCCCAGCCCTCAATACAATGGAGAGGAACATCTGAGTATGAACCACCAAATATCCCCAAAGGCCTGGCTGCCTTACAGGCACCTAAAAATACAGGCAGTCATTTTGCTTTGTGCGGTGATTTTCTGTGTGGCATTGGCCTTTAGCAGCATGACAATGCTGCCACACTGCATCTGTACAAGATGATAAATTCAAATGGTTTAATGGAACATTATAAACAAACAAAAAAGTATATGCTAGAAGTTGCTGGGCAATACAAACATGGCCAGAGTAGTAGTCTGACTGATTTGGGCACTGTCAACATTAGGGCAACAATGAGTGAAGTTTGCAACACGTTAATTACTTTGACTACACTACCACATTCTAGTTAAATACAACGGGAACAAATAATATCAAACGTTTAGCCGGTTAAGTATGACTCTGGGTTTAACAAAAAAGAAAGCAATTTTTAATATGCAAATATGAAAATACTATTATTACAACTTGGATTCCTAGCCACGGGAAGGTTCTGTATTTATTCATTCCACAAACACAACTGTGGAAGTAATTATCCCTGGTGTATGAGTCTTACATAACATTACCAGCTGAAACAAAGAATCATCTGTTTTTATGTCATGCAGTGCATAATTTAGACTGCAACATGCTGATAATTACATTCAGAACAATAAAAGACATCACTGGTTATGAATGAGTGGTGATGCTAATTGCCAAATTTCAATTTGTCTAAGATTTAACTGTCAAGAGATTCTTTAACCATACAGCCAGTAGTGTACAGTGGTAATATAAGGTAAACAAATGAACTACTGTAAGTCAGATTTTCACAGCGAAGCTCACTGAGTGCAGTACAGTATATTGTTCACGTGCATTTAGCTCAGATATCTATAATTGTCTTTCTTATACTCATGCAGTATATGTTTATACAGTATGTTTGTTTCATGTACTGTAAGTTGTGGTTTTATGTACAGCAGCTGCAGTGTCGCTGGTTATTTAACTGTGACCATTATTACTTATAGTATTTGATGAAGGAAATAACAGGTTTAAATATGGTTAATGGTAATATGTATATAATGAATTAATAGTTTATTCAATTAAATATTTATTTAATCATTTAATAAAGTTTGTTATATGATCATCACTATTACTTGCAGATTTAAAGTGAAAATGATAATCTATACAATCCTACTGGCCATTTCTAGTTCATTCCGAATGTGTTCAAGCAATTTTATTAAGTTTCTTTTTGTTTTTTTAAAGTTGACTTAATACACTGCTGTGAATAATACCTAGACTGAGCTCTGTCTCTTTTCAGGCTATTGACTTTCCATGCCAGTTTTCCCAAGGGATTAATGGAGCAAAATAAACTGCAAAAGAGTGACACAAAGGGCTTGTGACACCGTTTGCTGTGGAATAGAAATCCATATGTGCCTTTCATAGAGGAAAAAGTCCCTTGGCGACTGTGCCTGACACACCCCCATTTCATGCTTTGTCGATCCCAGGATGTAGTCATTCCAGACAGGGAGGACTCCAAGTTAAACGACATGAAGACCTAAAATCACAAAGCCAGAGGGAGGAAGTATGATCCATGTTTACCACATTAACCTGGTAAACCTCGAATTGGAGATCCTCCTGCAAACAGACAGCGCTGGGGAAGCTACTTTGAAAGCATAGCTTGGTAGCTTTGCATGCTACCAGTTGCAGTACTTCACACTGGAAGAAACTGAACTACAGCAAATCTACCACACTGCTACTGTAGTTTGGTTAACTAAAGATACGTAGAGAAAGTAGTTCAAACTATTTTGTTTAAAAAAAAAAGTTAACTGCCAATATACTTGTGGCATAATGAAATATAAGACAGAATAGACACATGCTGGCAAAAAAGTGCAACTCAGTTGGGTTTATTACATGAGACCTAAACCTGTCCTAAATAAAACAAGTTCCACAAGGACAAAATTGCAAGGAATGTTATATTTTTATTGTCAACAAATCTGAATTTTGTTTTATCTGACTATAAGACAGCAGTAAAGAGAAATAAATAATTTGCACCTTTTTAGAGAGTGTGAACAGCTTGAACACTGGCCTAAATAATGGCCTTATCTTTTATCTTGTCAGAGCAGAATCTCTTTGATTATATGACACATAAGGAGCCTGTCAAAGTTCTTATCCAGCAGGCCACTCTGTTTAGCAATGAGACCGTTTGTGCCAGCACTGAAAATGGTAAAATAAAAATGATTTCTTTCCTTTTAAGGCCCAAAATTGTTTGTAGTCTCAGTAGTTACACAAAAATTGCAAAAAAAAAAAAAAAAAAAGGTCATTTAACTACTTGAGTCACTATGCAGATATGAATGTAGTTGAACTGGCAGCAAGCTACTGCAAAATGTAGTTAAAATATCTGTTTAATTACAGGTAGTTTACTACTCCCCAACACTGCAAACAGATATAGTCCAGCAGAATGCAAACCAGAGCAAGTTCCACAAGTCTATACCAGCACCAATCACAGAATCTCCATAACATTTATTTAGAGCGATCCTTTCTCGGTGAGCTCATACTGACAGTTAAAGCCCCAATCCACCTCACCTGACATAAATTCTTTTGACATAATATTGTAAATATGGAAATCAACAGTAAGTGACCTCGAGTAAAGCTCTACAATGATACACAGTCAACCGCAAACTTTCTTTATGTTTAGGCAATACTGCTTACCCACAACAATTTTGACAAATATATCCAATAAATGAGTTGTATTACATTAGTGGACATTGAACTATCCTCAGAGACCTCTGAGGTCCACTAGCTCAAGTCTTTTGACTCCTACAGATTAAATGAGATGGCGATCAATTTTTTGCTGCGCGAGCTATGGGGGACTTCCATTTAGCGTTTGGTCCACTGGAATGACCTCTGTTTTTTAAACCTCACCTCAAAATCCAATTTTATGGATTGCTTTTCATAGCAGTTAGTATCCTTTGTCATCTTACTACTGAACTTAATGATGCCATTTTATTGATTTTTATTGTTTGCTGTAACCGTGTTTTACGTCAGGCTGCTACATTTTTTTCACATTAAATATTTCATGTCACAATATTGCAGTTTTATTCCTCACATGCTGTTGTTTTTATGATACCATATGTCCTGTCCTGTTGTATTGTTCTCTTCCTCTTGGAGGCTCTTATAAAGTACAACCATCCATAAAAATGACTATTATGATGGTGGTAAGATCATCACCATGCTCTCCTCTCCCAGTCATGCACTCATTGTAAATTGTGCATGCGTCAATATTTCAGGCTAATTAATAAGTCTTTGAGAGTATGGTTACGGCTAGCGTGGCCTATTTGCTAAGTGTGTCCAACTGTATTAGGTGAAGGACCTGCTGATGAATCAATTATGCGTCTGTCCACTGATGAAACAAAATGCATACGTGTTCTTTGTAAAAGGTCAAGAGCAGCATGATTAATTCAATAAGACCCAATCCTCTGCACCTATGGGTTACACAGAGAGCACCGTGTTACACCACCACTGACCATTTCAGACAAACAGATGAACTCTAGCTTCAGGTTCACTGAAGCTGCTGCCATGGTTTCCTGGGTCAAAACTCATTTGTAGATAAAGGAGAATTTGGAGGAAGGAGGTTGAAGGTAAATTAAAGGCATAGCCACTAGCTATAGACACCGTACACTATATATCAGGCTGCAAAACATACTTTCATGCTCACTTGATGATTTACCGGTGGGCTCAGAGAAACCTATTGCTATGGATATCATGCACCCCACTAAATCTTTCAGTTCTTTCCAAATCTAAGCGACCAGCATGCTGGGGATATTTCTTTATGATGGATTTAGAGTAAAATAAGGAAGAAGGGAACTAACTTTAGCTACTTTGATATTTCCTCAAGCATTAAGGGGTACATCAGTAACTCAATAACTACAAGGACAAGCATGACCACTAATTTCTACTTTTTTATACAGAAGAAGCTTGAAGAACTTAAGTAAAAGTACAAAAGTATTAGCATCAAAATATACTTATAGTGCAAAAAATAAAATGACTCATTATTGAGAATGGCACAGTATACAGTACATTAATGCTGTTGGTAAAATGGGAGCTAACTTTAAATACTTTATATGCTTATAATTTGAAGTACACACTGCTGGGTATGTTGTGACTTTTCCACTGAGGACCAGTAAATCTAATGATTATACTGTATTTTGTTTTATAAACCTCATTCTGAAAAGCAACTAGTAAAGTTAGCAAATAAATGTAGTGAGTGCAAAGTGCAATATTCTTCTCTGAAATGTAGTGAAGTCAAATAATGAAGTATCAGAAAATGAAAATATTCAAGTAAAGTATAAACACCTCAAAATTACAATACTTGAGTAAATGAACGTAGTTACTGTCCGCCCCTCTGTGGAACTATGTTTCCTATAAAGCTTTGTGAGATATTGCTAAGGATTGAGCGAGTCAGGCTGTGGGCTAACCTTTCTGATTATATTTTGGCAAACTAGCATGATCACAGGTATGCTGAATTAACTCCTAGCAGTGCCTGTTTAGAAAGTGCCCTGGGATTTACAGACAACTATTACTGGATTACTTTGATGCTGAAGCAAAGTCAAAACATGATGATTCTCAGTGAGGTTCTGACATTATTTGCAGCACAGACTTTCTGATTTCTTAGTGGATTTAAGGACATTTACGGCTGTGTGCTCAGATTTCACAGACTTGTTACGACTCAGAGAAGAAGCAAAACTTGCAATTTGGCAATGTGTTTGTCTCTTCCTCAGATGAGGTGTCCAACAAAATACTGCACTAGTGAAGAGGGTACATACTACACTAGTACTGTAACTTGACGTGCTTTTACTATTTTCTCCATTCTCTTCAGGATCCCTTTCTGTGCAAGCCTGATTTTGGTTTTAACAGTAAAAGCCTGTCTTTATCTCTGTCAAGCGTGCAGGGCTACATGTTTGTCTAAGATGCACTCTAATCCAGTATTAGCCCACTTGGCTTGCACTCCTCTCCTTTAGCAAGTGCACATTCCTCATCCCCTAAAGACCATCACAATCATCTATTCAGCAGGCATAGATGTATAGCTTGCAAGCTCTCTCCGTCTCCTCCCTCCTGTCTGTCTGTGATGAATGACACCCATCTCAGAGTGACTAACTAATGATCCTCTATTAATCTTAGTGGAGCAGCTGCTGTCACCGCTGCAACCATAGCCAACTCTGAGACCCTACGACTCTCCTTCACACCCAGCAGAACCCACCCGCCCACTTAACAGACTCCAAACCTGGCAACCAGACACTGAGACAGACAGGCCAGAAACCAGAGGAGAGCTGGTGTCACCATGGCAACAGGCAGGGTGACAGAGGGCTCCACGCTTATGTAATTAGGCAGTTAGAGTTAAGTGGAAGAAGTAGCAATCACAGTTCACGTTAAAACATCACAGGATGTGTCCTGCGTTGGTAGAGAATATTTTTTATGAGCATCCAAATGTATTCATTATATATCCAGGAATTCATCTAAGCTTGTTGATTATATAAACACACAATCAGATAGAAAATGTCAATGATGCAAAAACATAAATAATTTGTTGTTTCATTATTCATACATGAATGTTATTCTATTACTTCAGCAGGCTCCAGCTTACCTGCAGCGTGTTCAGCAGTTCTTTTTCAAGTCTATCCATTTGTATGTTTAATTCTGATTAGAACAAACCCTGCTGAAAACATGATTAAAGCAATCTGTGGTTTTAAAAACTGAATATTTGGTCTTAATTATGTACATGTGGGTCACTGTGCGACTGTCTTAATCACGCTGTGGGGACTGAAATTAGTTTTCACAGTCCATTAGGGTGACAAAGTATACGACTGTGTTTTTAAGATTTGGGTTAGGTTTAGTGTTAGATAAAGGTTGAGTCTCCAGATATTGAATTTAAGTAACTGCAGTGTTTGTGTGGGTATATTTGGTGGAAAGTATACTTACTCTGCCAGCTCTTCAAGGCTCCGGTACACATCATCCTCATTCAGAGCTGTGTCCTCCGAAGGAAAGGGCCTGGTACACACACAAAAACAGCACAATTAATCACTGTGTTTATAATTTCATCATGCGACATCACTACGCACGCCACAGTGTCCCAGGAAGAAAAATAACCAGTCAGAAACTATGTGTTCTCTCTGTCAGGGTGTCACTCTCAGCTCCATCATTTCAGCAGCACAACAGCCGGATGCACTCATCAGTCATGAAGAACACGGGTAACACATCAGCACACTACTGGTGGCACATAAAAAAAAAGCTGGCATTTTCCCACAGCCAACTCTTTCATGGTGGAGATCGGTCTTTTTTCAGTTGGTTGGCCAGGTGTCTTCTAAGTCCCCTCTGGGATTTGTCCATCTTCCAAGGCCCCTCAGGCACAGTGTATTGAAAATGATAAAGTTAAGAGCTATAATATTTCTCCACAACAAAAGTGACCTTCTTTACGTGAATCCATACTTTTTGTTGTAAAATATATCGGATACAAAACACTGCAATCAACAAGCATAGATAAAATCATGTACGCCCATCCTTCCACTCATTCAATAATTCACATAACTGATCCCGGTCTTCTTCTGTTCTCATTTCTGCTCACACAGTATCAACAAACACAACACTCCGGGGAAATGACAGAATTAAAAAAAAGGATAACTAATCAATTAGCGCTTTAAACAGGTTGGGTTTATTTCTAATCTTTTTAAAGATATCTGCTTTCCACAAACATTACTCTCAAGTGCATGATTTGCCCAGCCATGTTTATGATGTTTTGTTTTTCCTTTTCCCCCCCCCACAGGAGTTGATTGCTACAAATTATAGCCTGTTATCTTAATGCTGTGCACAATTGAATCCCATTAAAATCAGAGAGGTCATCAATGCTAATCATCAAACATGCAACTATTACTGCCATGGAAATCACTTTTATTATTAAAATGATCCTTGAATCAGTAAAGATGCTAAATATTTTATATGGAAAAAATAAACTCTTGCATGTAGAATTTGTCGGTGCTTTATCAGCTTTCAAATGCTTCAAATATTTTCAGTTTAAGGAGTTTGTTATTTGGTTCTAGGGGTCTTGTGTTTGTTTCACTGTGGTAGCAGCACACTGCTGTTACCATTCTCTCCACAAGCAATAAATCCCACACAAAGCAGGAAGGTTGACCTTGACTCTTGCTGTATAATGTAACTACTGAACACATGATTTGTTTTCCTAGGAGCCACAGGACACACACACAAACACTTGTACGTCTGCCTTTGTAAGGACACTCATTGACATAATGCTTTCCCTAGCCACTAATATCTAGTATATATAGTCTGATGAATATGAGAAATGATGTGAATCATATGCTGTGGCCTGTGATCTCAGCCCAGCTGAACACCTTTGGGAGATGTCAGGCAGCGTCTCCACCACCATCGTCCAACACCAAATAAGGTAATGTCTTTTAGAAGAATGGTGTCCATCCCTCCAGTAGAGTTCAGAGACTTGAGGAGTTAATGCCAAGCTGCACTGAAGCTGTTCTGGTGACGCCTGGTGGCCCAACACCTGGCTAAGCTATTGACTGTTGGTTTTTCTTTATTTCTGTCATGTATGAATGTGGGTGCACTGAAGAATTTTAGAATAGACGCTGTCAAAGGTTATACAAATTTTAAAGCCCTCAAAGACAAACTATGGTCAAATATATTTTAAAGATCTTAAGCCAAGTACTACAGGCTATATACTGTATATAATTACTAACTTCTATGAACAACATATGGAGGAGGTTGCTGGTGACTGATAAAAACTGATAAAACATGCACCCCAAACATGGATTAATGGATGATACATTGTGGGAAGGTTCAAGAAAGATACTGCAGCAGAAAAGAGTACAAATAAAAAGATTGTATGAGTGTGTTTTGTAGCTGGAACAGTTCAGTGCCTAAGGCCACATTATTAACGACTCTCAGAAAAGCACTTGGCTTTAAAAGTGTTTGAGTGCATTTAATAAAGATATGATAACAGACACAGACCTGTTAGCGGCTGAAGGTCAAATATCTCACTATTAAGTGAAACTAGATTATGCACATAAAGCAATGACAACAGCAATTTTGTCTTGTCATTTTAGTTGTGTATATTTGCAGGATTGTATGTGCGTGCCAAGCTACAGTACATGTATCAATGCATCACCAGGAATTAGCCTAGTATGTGTAATTGAAGCAGCGACCACCCTGAAAGCATGTCAGCCATCAGGTTAATGACTGTTCAGTCAGATAGTCAAAGGTCAGCTTGTCACCCTCAGGCTTCTGCGTGCACACACAAACGTGCAAAGAATCGTGCATCCTCAGCCTCCACCCTCTTCTCTGATTCATTTACTCTAATTTTTTTTTCTACATGTAAGTGGTGTTACTTTGTGAAACCTCTGTATTTTCAAGAGCTAATTACAAGCATTATTATTAAGAAATAATAATACAAAACTGCCTGATCTGATTTATGTTACTTTCTCACACAATGTTATGAACAGGAACCCAGCGCAGAAGGCGCTTCCTCCAGAGCGTAATAACACACCCACATCTGATTGGCCCCCGCCAATGAAATGTGCATTATATTATGGAGTCCCGCAGGGCTAAATTTAATTACATAGTAGTTTGTGGGGATATGCGCTGGTATCTATCACCTCAGTGTTGTTTTGTGGAGACAAACATTGTCCAATGCTGCCGTTTTAATTTCTCTTAAATGGTCCAACCCGGTGTAATTGACCTATGTTTATAATTTCATCAGAACTCCTCTGATGAGCTGTTGCTTTACTCAGTACCGCGCTATTGTTTTTCCTGCAAGCATGTTGCTCAGGTCTGTGGCGATTAGGAGTGGATGTTCTGCTTGTGGACAAAGGGTTTTCTAACTAATCAATTAATAATACAAGGTTTTGTTCATTTGTTAATGATTTACACCTATGATTACCCCCTTATTGGCAACAGTCCCTCCTGATTAGGCTCATTTAATTTAGGATTTTCCTATTTTGTCATTATTGATTCAGTGCGAGGAATATATTTTTCTCTTTTTAGTTAAGATGTTGTCTAGAGATGTGTTTTAAAATAGGCTTTTTCAGCAGAAAGACTTGCTGCACATATTGTAACAAAATAGTTCAGTTTAAATCTTTGTGTGAAGAGTTTGTTCAAACTGCTGGTTAGAACAGCAGTTTGTGATTAAAATACTGATTGACTGATGTATTTGTTGTAAATTTGTTGTGTTCCTTTTAGCTTCTATATTTTTTCTTTTTTTAAAGCTTCTTTAGTGCATCTGTGTTTCTTTAACCAGTTTATCATTTTCCACTTTCATTGGGCTCTTATTTGTGTATCTTTTTGGGTAACTCTTCAATTTATAGGTTAGTAACATAACTAATTGCATAGAAAACAAAGTCTATTTTGTTCACTTATGATGATTTTTTTTCCTATAAATTGCTACACTAATATAAAGTATATTAGTGTGTGACCAGCAGTTCACCTAAAATGTTTCCAGGCCAACATAAAATTAAACATGTATAAAAAAAATTATAAAAAAAAAAATCAAACAAAGTGAATTCAGAGTTCTTAAAAAGAAACTTGTAGGAAATTATTAGGAACTCATGGACCCATAAAATGAAGCGTTATCTGTTATTTCCCTCTGCTGCCTAGGGTGAGGGGGCTTTGAGAGGGGCATGAGGGATTGCATGATTGCATTTGTTCGTGTGTTATTGCCCAGTGAGTTGTTTGATTTGATTAAAGGTTTTTAAAAAAAAATCTCCCTTGCATATCCTGGGCAGGGCAAAAAATTTAAAGCAGCTGCATAATATAAGTGGAGCTTTTCTTACAAATTAGAAAAGACCAAGTAGCTTTTTGATTTGTGATTTTAGTACAAGGACAATTCTTAATATTTCCCCATCTTTTCAACTCTCTTTTCCCTTCAAACTGTGCTTTCGAGATTAAATTCATTATTTCAGTTAACTCTAATCTGCTTGTGAGCATGTTAAATTTCTTCTTAACTGTCCATAAAGCCAATACTGGCATAAAAGCAATTGTAACAGAGTGAACTGGTTCCGTTGATCGACTACTGTCAAACAGTAAAACAACAATGTAGTCATTATGTGTGATAGCAGCTCAAATGTTCAGCAGTGGAAGCATTTTCTTTTCCCAGGATGCAGCTTTGCTTCTGCAGGGGTTGATAAATCGCTGGAGCTCAAACAAACTAGTGCACTTTGTCACTTATTGTACCATGGCTGTCCATAAACCTTCTGCTTTCCCCTTCAAACCTGGAACTGCAGCTTCATTTCACAGACGTTCTTGCCTGGTGAGTGTGTGTATGAGTGTGAGCTAAGAAACGTACAGTCAGTAAGGGAACTTTTCAGCCCCTTTCGAGTTTCCACATTTTGTAGATTCAATTGATTTTTTTTTTTTGTGGCAAAGTGAAAAAAGTCTTTTGGAATGTTTTGAAAATGTATAAAAAATTAAAAACTGAAAACCATTTACATAAACTATGTATTCAGACCTTCACTTAGTACTTGGTTAAAGCACTGTTGGCAGCAATGCCAGGTTCAAATTTTCTTGGCATTGAAGCTACAAGATTGGCACATGTTTCTTTTGGAATTTTCTTCCAGTCTTGGCAGAATCGGTCCAGGTCAGCCAGGTTGGATGGGGAGCGTTGGTGCACGGCCATTTTCAGGTCTCTCCAGAGATACGCCATTGGGTTCAGGTCTGGACTCTTGCTGGGCCACTGCAGGACTTTCAGAGTTCTTCTGAAGCCACCCTTTTGTTTTCTTGCCGGTTTGCTTTGGGTCATTGATGTAAACCTTTGTCCAAGCCTGAGATCCTGAACATTCTGGAGAAGGATTTCATTTAGAATTGCTCTATATCTTTCTACAACTATCCTTCCCTTTATACTGACTAGTCCTCCAGTTGCAGTTACAGAAAAACATCCCCACAGCGTGATGCTGCCACCACCATGTTTGATAGTAGGGATGGTATTATTGAGGTTATGCTTACTGACTGGTTTTCTGCATACACACTGTTGAGAAATGTGACCAAATAGTTCAGTCATGACCACTGATGGGAGTGGGATGCACCAGAGCACAACTGCAAGTGTCATAACAAAAGGTCTGAATACTTATGCACATGGTATATTTTAGTCTTTTATTTTTAATAAATTTACAAAATACTCCGAACAACTGGTTTTGCTTTATCACTGTGGAGTGGTGTGTGTGTAGCTTGATGAGAAAAAAAATGTATTGAATCCATTTTAAGATGAGTCTGAAACCTAACAAAATGTGGAAAACATGAAAGGTCTGAATACTTTCTTCACTGACTGTTTGAGTAAGAGCCTTTTTTTACACACAGAAGTTATCTTTACAATGTTTCCGTGTGATATTATAGAGCAGATCGTGCACTGAATCCATATGAATAAAAAAATGAGGATATGTGTGATAACTGCATACTAATGTGTGTGAAATAATTCAGTGGTGCGAGGGGGCAGAACTGTAAGAAAGGGAAGAAAGACTCATGAAAACGCTGCTTCTTAACACTACGGCTGCTCAACAGCTCATGCTATGCACTGTGACCTCTTCATCTGCTTAAAAAACAAAGCATAGAAACACATGCACATTTATTTTGTTGACTATATCTCCCTGATGAATTTTACCGCTGCATGGAAGAATTGCCTGGATGAAGCATCTTTAAAGCCTCACATGGTTTTTCATGAATTACAAAAAGGCTGAAATGTTTCTTTTATTAGTTGATCAACCAAAAACTAACAGGCATATATATTGATATATTGATAAGCAATTAACTGTTTGGGTCATTTTTAAAATAGAAATAATTTTCTGGCTCCACCTTCTCAGATGTGAAAATTTGTTACTTGTTACAGTTTTATGCCGTTTGTAAATATAATATTTATGTGAAGGTGTCACTTTGGCTTCTTGGAAATTTTGAGGGGAATTTTCATAATTTTTTAACAGAATAACTGACTACTCACTGCTAATGTTAATGTTGACTGGCTCATCAATCAATAATTAAAATCATTAATTACAGCCATCAATTCAACTGTGAGTCATTTAAAGACACACTAGCTAAGATTTTACTGTCTGATGAATCAAGTGAAAAAGAAAAGGAAGTGATGTCTCTCCACCACCCTCGCCAGCTCCTTGTGCCGCTCCCATCATTCTACCTACTGAAGAGTCTAACAAGTGTCCTCAAAACGTTCAGTATGAAGCGGTTTGCTTACTTGGGCAGTATATTTATTGTCAGCCAGATACTGGCTGCCCCTCAGAGACTAGGTGTGGTTTTAATCAATCTGGCATATTTTACAAATTCAAGGGTGAGTTAGAATGATCCTTATAAGAAAAGGTACATTTTAAAGAGTCATTCATACACAAAATCTAATAAATATCTTGGCTCTCTCGCATTCTACTTCCCTGATCCCCAAAGACCACAAGACACACCCAAACAGCAGGCATCAGTGATGAACTAGAAAGTCAGGAAGTGCAAAGGGGTTGAAGGGTAGAGCGGGGTTAGCTGAGGACAAAAACAGATTCACAGTCAGAAGGAGGCTGAGGTAGGGCTGGGTGGGGGTGGCTGACTGACAGAACCGATGAGGAGACAGGCTTGTACTGTAGATAAGCTGCGAGAAACACCAGGTCAACTCCAGGACACACAAAGAGGATTTAGAGTTTTGGACAAAAGAAAGAAAACTCTGGTTTTTGACAGTTTTTCTGGTGAACTGTTCAAACATTGAGAGACAAAAATCTGAGATTCTCTAAACAGTCCAAATTAAATAAAAACCCAAACTAAAAAAAATGTAATGAACATGAAACAATTTTGATATGGACATTTAGTTTTAATCAGTTCTTGTATGTGTTGTTTTGACTGATGTTTAATTCTTTTATTTTGTACTTATTTTTATTTTACCCGTTTCTCAAGGGAGACCTGGCCAAAACGGCATTACATGTTTCAGACCAGCACTTTTTAAAGTACAGACAAATAAATAAACTTCATTTTAGAATTTTTTTCAGTGATTATCTGTTTCCATTTGTCAGCCCTGTGATGGGCTGTGTACCTCTCTTCTTGCCCAGTATCAGCTGGGGGACCCCACCCACCTAGCAACCTTCTACAGAATAATCAGCAGAGATGATGAATGGATGGCTGTTGTTTTTTTTTTGTTTTGTTTTTTTGTCAAAATATGCAGAAAAGCTCCTGAGTAATGTCTGCAAAGCTTACTGTCAGTCGCCTCAAATGTCAAAACTGAGGGCAAAAACAAAAATCTTCAAGTGGCCCAGCAGAAACTGTGCCTTTGGACGTACGAGAAGAATTCAAGTTGGTTGGACCTTAAGAAGAGCGTGCACTGCTCAGTGAGTATGTGACTGCATGTCCAGTACTGTACATCTCTGGATGTGCAGAGGAGCACGCGAATCTGTGTCAGTGTGCAAAAATATTCTTAGTTTCCAGCTGGGGCTAGAATGCTGACACAATGACAGAGACATGAACGATCGAGGCCTGATTACAACGAACACACCTCAAAGACAAGATTGATGAGCTTCAACGGAACGTCAATGGACGAGCCTGCGGCAAAGTTACCGAGAGATTTAACACAGTCAGGAACTCTCCAGTCATTCTGAAGCTCAGTGGATGGCCCGATGTGGTGTCTGTGTTTAACTGATCTCAGACCCTGCGGTTATCGTCTGGGTACTGAGACCACCCTGACAAACTAAAGCTTTTAAATTGTTTTCTAAAACTATTTCTTTCAGGAAATATATTGATCTATATTAGTTTTGAATAGAATGGAAACTAAAGACAGACAGAAGAAGGTTAAAATGCAACAACTTGAAATAAAAAAAAAACCCTAATAAATAAATAATACAATAATGATAATTTCAAAAAATAAAACCTTAAAATGCATGGTGCAATTTGTTACTGTTCTTAAAATTAAAATAAGCACAAAATTATCATTAATGGTCATTTAATTTATTATTATTGGAGTACTGACTCTTTTTCCTTTTCAGTATCCATCTGAAATTCAGGAAGAAGAGGCACACCTGTCTCCATCTGCACCCTTTGCCAACTGAGGCACATTTTTCTTTTATTATAAGCTTCTTGATTTATGAAAAGACCTCAGGGTTTGCCGCTTCATACAAAAGGCCGCTTTAGGTATCACCTAGCCAGAGATCAACGGTGCAATATTTTACACAGATTTATTCCTGTGTGTGATTTACACCGAGGTCAATGAGCACTGACTTTGACACCTCACAGCAAAATGGTGAGAGTAGACAGGCTGTGTATTTGCCAGCAGTCAGCAAGTTGTGTTGTCTTTATTAATGGCATGGGACCTGCTCTCTCTGTCATTCTCCTTGTCTTTCGCCTCTCTTCATTTCCTGGCATTGCTTCTAATGGGCACGCTTCATCAACTCATTACTTAGAAGGATAAAATGGCTTTTTATGTAGCGCCAGTGAGCCACCAAGCTCCAAGCAGAATGAGTAAATGAAGAGAAATCAGAAGCCCATTTTAGGCCTGATAAAGCAGTGTGAACAATTTTCTCAGCTCACGATTATCTGTGAAACATTACTACCCCTGCATTCAATGTGGAATTCAAACTCAGACAGTAGTGCTCATGATGTACTAAATTTCTACATAAACAGTATGTAGCTGTACTTTGAGTGACAGATGAAAATGTGTTGTGATTTTTTCCCCCTCCGCATCATAACAGCAACTAAAAGCTGCAGCTAATTGCCTAAAAATGTAAATTGATTTAAATGAGCAGCTGATGTTAACAGCCACCCTGATCTTAATGTAGGTCTGAAAGTAAAAGCAGAACGCATTCATTCAAATGGTTTGTTTGTCACCCATATGTTTGAGAGCTATGGCTGTTCAAATGATAAATGAGAGAGTTTAAAACCAGACACATACCTGATGCCTTTGATTTGTGCAATGCTGTGGTGGGAAATCCTTGACAGAGCAGAGATTACCTGAAAGAAACAGAAATAAACTGTCACTCAGGAAGCTAATGGGGATTAAGAAAAATAGCAACATAAAAATCATTTTTCAGTCAACAATAGTTTAAAAAATTGTCAGAAGCAACAAACAAAAACCTCTCTAAAATATTTTTCAGGGACAACAGTCAGCTATGAAAGTAGCAAACTATTAATCAGAGGCAACAGACACCAATACATCAGGGTGAACAAACCAACTATAAAAGTAACTAAAAACCAAATCCAAATCAGAGAGCCATTATCAAAACATCATCAAACTACTAGCAGCATATACAATGTGTATTGACCAGTAAAGAGAAAAACTAGTTTTAGTTCAACATTCACTGCTCATCAAGGGTGATTCTCATACATCACACGTGCGTCTCAGCAGCCCGTCTCAGTTGTACGCAGCATCACACCGAACTGGTGTAAACATAATGAAGGCCACCATGTTAATGGTGACATCCAGAGACATGTGGCGCACAGTCACGGGTGACTGGGTACCACTTTGGTCTGATCACACGCCAACATGCATGTGGAGTCATGTACATGGCCGTCCTTGTATTTTCCTTACTGTACCTTCCGTCTCATTTTCTGTACTTTGGTAGTCTCCATACTTTTCCTTTGTATTTATTTATTTTTTTTTAAGTACAAGAGGGTTAGAAACGTGTCTCTATTTAAGCTGATTTAGCACCACACGAGTCACACGTAAGTGAATTTATGGATGAGGAGTACAGATGGCGTGGTTGCAGGGTCTACTGGGTCTAGCTCAGGAAGATGAGGAGACCACATCCCAAAACACACACACACACAAACCCAAACCCTATCTTCTACGCCTCATTACCCACTCCTGGGTGTATTTCAGCTTGCGACACCGTGGCAATAGCAGATGTCTCCTTGACAGGGAGGAGAAAACTGTTATCTCAACCTCTGTTCCACAGCAGGTGTACCATCTACAGCCTCTCTTCAAACTCCCTCTTCACTAAACACACAATGTAGCGTCTCACCATCTGAGCCTATGCTAATAGCTGCTGTGAAGAGGTGATACTTAAGCTGAAGCGCTGTTGACTAAAACCTTGCACTCTCTTTTCAAGTTGTTCTCATGTTTAACATACTAAGTTGTGGAGATATTCAGTTACACTTAACCACTGTGTGGGGGGGAAACCTCTACGGGCCAAACGCTTGACAGAATGATAAGGGGTTATTTTTCCTGAGTCACTAAAGACCCATCCAATAGGCCGTCATGTTCATGTTTAATGGTTCTAATATGGGCCCATTCCACTTTGCAGACAGAGACCAAAAAGAAAAGGTAGGCAGACAAAAGAAGGAGAAAAGGAAGAGGAGAGGGGAGAATAATGGTTTGCTAATTCAGCTCAATGCCTCAGTTTAGCCAGTGGTTAGGGTGTTTAATAAATCACTGTGGATAAACCCATTGTGCTGCTGGGTGGCAAGCTGCCCACCTGGCCATGCTGCAGGGAGGGATCACATATGGCATAGTGCCCTAGCGTCATTACTAGCTCCGTCTTTTTCAGTGTTATTGTCCTTGTAGAAGGGTGACAGACGACATAATTTCAAGACAAAACAGAAAAATCTAGATAAAAATACTAAACGTTAATCAAAGAGTTGGATGGATAAATGGGTAGGTAAACAATTTCTTTATTAAGCGGCAATCCATATTTAATGTGGAGTAGTGTGATCAGCTGCAATCAGATCTGGCTAAACACAGCTGGCTTCAGCCACATTTGTCCAGGTCCAAAGGATAACGAAGCTGCTGGCTTCCAGCCAGACAGGTCGCAGCAGGGCCAGAGCCTGCTTGGCCCGGGGGGAGACAAGACATGAGTGTGCCAGCACTGTGCATGCTAGCATGACGTCCACACATCACAGCACAAAGTCCATTAATATTAAATCTTGCATTTCCCAAGAATTGAGCAGTTTGTTCTCATGTTTTAGTGCATGTTAGCCTCAAGTGCCATAATGTGAAAAACACATCTCAATACTGGGAGTGCTGGTGGTTTGTTACTCCATCTGGTTTTGGTACAAAATGTAAATTTGCAATGTGTTTTCAGGAGAGATGAAGTAAGAATGTGTTCTCAAACTGTAATGAGAGTGCAAGTTGGATTTCTTATTTATCTTTGTAATGTAGAGCTACTGTTTCAGCGTAGGATTTAATTTTAACAACTTATTCCACTCTACCAAAAATCTCTTGAATGCATTCCCTAGCATTTAAAGCCTAGAGGCTGTGAGTGATACTGAAATGACAGATTATCATTGGAGTATCCCTTTATGTTCTGATCTTTTTAAAGCTGCCTTCTTTTATCCGTCTCATAATGCCACTCCTCAAACTTTCCGGCCTCTATTTAAAGGTGGCCTGTCTAGATGATTGCCTTCCTCTCCCTGCCTGTGTTTCTTTCCCTTTCTGACTAATGCAGTGTGCATTCACTTTCTCCTGATCCTCAGGTTTCAGTCAAAGCATTTGAGTCTCTAAGTATTATTAATTTCCCTCTCATCTTGTAGACCCCAGGGGATCTTAAATTTGGGGTTAGCCAGAGAATAAAGGCTCTTTCATCCCTCTAGGAATATGAAAAATGCACACGATTTCTAAAGCACCAAACCAATATCTTACCTTAATCACCATCCCACAGGCCATTGCTTTACCTGCATCTGACCTTTTCTGTCAGTCAGGAAAGTGTAACTGAAGACACGTTAATTCAGAAAACCTCACTGATGTAATTTCTATATGACACTGACATGCAATATTTATTTACTGTATAAAAATTCTGCATGCATGTGTGTTTGTGAGAGACAGGGAAAAGGAGTGGCATCTATGGATTAACTGTGAGGCGAAGCCAAGGGTTTGCAAACACATGCCATCTCCAGACTGTGGCCTCTGTACCAGCTGGTGCAAAGAGAAGCCTCATGTGACTGCCCTGCAGCAAATCAGAAGACTTGCAGGATCTGGTTTCACCTGTCAATTGGGACTTGACTGAATATGTATGGTCATCAATTAGGAGTCAGGTCAAATCAAACCTACAGCCATGTGCCACTCCATCATAAAACACACCCAACCGCTAATTCTGTTTGTATCAGATCTGAAATCAATGCATGTGTGGAAGTCATCCAACAAAGAGATAAAATTAATGAAAAAAATCATCACATTACTGTTATTTTCTCATTTCCCTCTCTGGGCTCCTCCTATAACAGTTAACTCCCAGATAGTGTGTGATATTTATGAAGTATTCACACTTTGATAAAACAGCATCGCTCTGCTTACAGTATGCCAGCCTGCCAAAGTCGTAGGCATGAAGCAAGCGGGGCAGGGAGTGGGAGAGCTGAGAGCAGATGGCTGAGTGGGAACCCTGCGTGCCCAACATCAATAATAGAACGATGGGCTGAGCGCGTCTGTGTGTGTGTGTGTGTGTGTGTGTGTCCCTGAGTCTGGGAGTTTCTGCCTTTTATAAATCTTCTCTTATGCCATCATGTCGTTTCTTTGGGCGCCGTGTCTTTTTCACTTCCTTTCACAATTTCTTGGTCTTCTGTATTGTGTACACTATACATACAAAAAACCTGTTGTCCAAAAATTCTTCCTCATTCCTGTACTTCACAGGCAATAAAGCAAAGATGCTGCCTTTGCAGAAGTGCGATCCAGAAGAATTTTTCTTCCATTCATTTAACTAAACAGTTGTTTACTTTCTTTTACATAGAGGTGATGAAAACTCAACATAGAGTCTCATTAAGGTGTTGGGCCACCTCGTGCCACCAGAACAGCTTCAATGCACCTTGACACTGATTCCACAAGTATCTGCACTCTACCAGAGGAATGAACACCCTTCTTCTATAAGATATTCCCTCGCGGTGTTCTGATGATGCTGGTGGAGACGTGGGTGTGTGAGGTCAACTTTTGGGGGGTGGGGGTCTACCGGGAGCAATGCTGGTTGTATAGCCTGACAGGTCACATCATTTTCATACTCAAACCAATCATTCCAAACAAAATAAAACTGTCCAGCAGAAATATGGCCACCATGGCCTTTGATGCCCAGGTAACTGAATTACAATCCTATCTATACACTTAGAGCTGACTACTGTCTGGCTTCTGGAAGCAACCGCCTGCCCTACCTTTAACTTGGCTTGCAGTTAGGAATTAAACATGGTCAATGCATTGATACAAATGAACAACAACCCATACCAACATACAAAACAGTAGTAAGTAAAATAAGAACTTCTTATTTCTTCTCCACCACCCTGGATAAAAGTGGACGTTAAAGAGACAACACAACCCCACATCTCATGGAATGTGTTGGGGTACAACACAAGCGCTGTGCAGGAAACTGCATGGATGACTATGATTAGTCACCAGAAATCAGCTCATGTTAAAGGTGCTGAATGCCATCAGGAGCTGGGCCTGTCTAAATCCTGATTGAAGTCACACTGGCACCTGCCACACTACAATAAATCCCCTCAAAGCTGATCCTCCAACTGCTTGATTATAGAGGATTTCACTGTCACTGCCTATGTCCAGGCAAGA